CTAAATAGAAGCTCCATGTGGGCAGGAACCTTGTCTGTCTGTTCAACACTGTACCCACAGCCCCTAGAACACTGCCTGGCACTTAGAAAGCACCCAATACCTGTTTACCGAACAAATATATAGGGGTCGGGGGAGCAGATTATGGTCATCGTTCACTTTTTATTTTAATATTTGAGATAAATTTGAATTTTTATAAAGTGCATGAACTACCTCTGTAATAAGAAAAAAGAAATAACGCCGAAACAAAATAAAATTGAAACAATCCAGCTAGCATATTTGATCAAACAGATGAAAGTAAGACAAAACCTTTCTCAAGAATCTATTATGTAGATTGCAGGCAATTCATATATTTCAGTCTCCACACTGTTTATTAAACCTGAAAACCTGGCCAGTTTAATGATCTGCTTGCTAGTCAGTCCACACTCCTGGACTTTTAAATAACAGTCATCTCCCCTTGGCTTACGGAAAGATTGTTGTTCGAACTTTCCAATCTCCTACTCACAGGATATTTATTTCTCCCTCTATGCTTTTGCCAATGCTGTTACTTCCCAAAGCATTTCCTCCCCACTGTGCCACCACCCTCCCCCCACCTCCTCTATCCAAAATCTTGGTCATCCTTTAAGGCACATTCAAATCTATCAAGAAACGGCCAAAACCGACAACCATGCTTTTAAAAAGCTCCGTGCTTTTTCAAAAGGCACCTTTCTTTGTGTGTCCCTCAGTCAATTACAGTTGGTTGAAAACAACATTTTTATATACCTAACCACACTGAAATGTCACTATACATTTTCCAACTGAGTTAAAAAAAAGAAAAACTCTCAGCTGGCGGAAAAATGCTGTAAAAGGCGGATGGGAGCAATTGCTTAGACTCTTCCTCAAAGGAGAAAATACTGGGTGGTTTTCAAGGGATCAAAAGCCATTCCCCACGCATTCCCATGAGGAGGAAGGCGGTGTGGCCACAATCATTATCTGGAATTTACAAAGAAAGGGACACAAGGAAAAACTGACTAGCAAGCTTGGAACCATCTCCTCCAAGGCTGTTGGGCACCATCACTTACATCCTATTACGACAACCATTCAGTTTTGACTGAGCACTCACAGCGTGCTGGGCACTGTGTTAACCCATTATGCGCATTATCTCATTTAATCCTCCCAAGAGTCTGGAGTGCTCATCACTATTATTATCCTATCAGAAGGAGGAGATAGAGAGGACGTGACTGCCGGTTGATCTGCGAGCTGGACCCGGGCAATCAGAGACTTTTTACCTCCTCCCCTGTCCTTGGAATGTACACCCCGCCCGGCGTTCCCACAGTGGGAGCCATTCCAAGGACACAGCCTTGAGTGAGGAAGGTGTTGTAGACACCATCTGGATGGTACACGTGACCGAACCCCATTAAGGCCTCTATGTAAACTTTCAAGATTCTGGCCGGCGGATGCAAAGATCCACTGTCTTGCAACCGCCCAAGACGAGCCTCCTATGTAAATTCACTTGCTTACTAAACCTGCCGCCTACCCATCTGGTGCGATTTGCTTCTTTCTTCAGTCTCTCTTTGCCCTCCGTGTATGGGGCCAGTTTCAGATTTCTCGCGAGAACTTCCCAAAGTCTCAAACCAGCATATCCCCATTTTACAGAGGAGATAAACTGAGGCACAGAAAGGTTCAGCAATTTCCCCAGGGTGACAAAGTGACAGAGAGTTAGAGCTGGTCTGGAGCCATTTCTCCTGGTTTCAAACCCCCACTCTTTGCTACTATACTATACACATCTTCTACGTAAAAACTATAGTTAAAGTTAAAGATAGCGGATAATACAACCTTAGCTAAAAATGACCAATTCTGCAACCTTTTCCCCCCTTTCAATTCTTTTTAAGTAACACATACTCAGTGTTTAGCGTCAAATATTTAAATATGCGTAGAAGTTAAACAGAGCACAGCTTCTTTTTAATGGATCTTTCTTTTTCTCCAGCATTTCATGCATTACAACATCATCTTGGCTATTGTTATGCCATGGAATCAACAGTACTAATTTTCACACTTCATTAACAAATAAATGGAGGCCCCAGATGTTATGGATGGATTCATAGATCCCCTGGGAGTTGAGAGGGAGTCCAAAAAAGCCACTTTAATCAGAAAATGCCAGGCTGTACAAGCCAGCCCTGATTGCCTAGTGGTTAGAGTTCAGCATGCTCTGCTTCAGCAGCCCGGGTCCAGATCCTATGCTCAGAACCACACCACTCGTCTGTCAGTAGCCATGCTGTGGTGGCAGCTCACATAGAAGAACTAGAAAGAATTACAAGTAGAATATGCAACCATGCACTGGGGTTTGTG